AATATATTATTTATATATTTATATATTTATATATTTATATATTTATATATTTATATATTTATATATTTATATATTTATATATTTGTATATTTATATATTTATATATTTGTATATGTATATGTATATCTATACTTTCGACCACCTAAGAATCTGGAGGTTTTCTTTATTCATCACTCCCGATGCAAAGTTTTAAGAAACTCTTTGGAACCTTTTGGGCAGTCATGTTGACAGTTTAAAAGCCTCCACCGTAGATGCAGAAAAGAAAAAGAAATAATAATAATAATAGTGCCAAAACCCAAGGGGAACCCCTCCCCTCCTGCAAAACAATACCTTCTGTTCTCATTTCCCCCCTTCTTCCTCTGTCTCTCGCCCCCCCTCCCCGCCCCGCCTCATTTTGTAAGCTGTAGATACGCTGTATATATATATAATATGTATGTGTGTGTGTGGTCCGGCCCGTAGCATCCATGGAGTGACCGTTAAAATAGTAGCCTTGTTGGATGGCAAATCCGTAGCTTTTGGCATTGTTACTTCCCCCTTGTCTAGAGAGTGAGCAGCTTTGACCCATAGCGCATGCTTGTAGGAGGGGAGGCGGTTTCCCTTCAACAACCATCCCTCCTTGTAGTTTCTATAGCCTGCATGTAGCCGTTGGAGATCTGTGTAGTAGCCTTGTGTCTTTGTAGACGTTCACAGCCATGGGGGGGACGTGAGGGGGGGGACACGACAGCAAAGGAGATGCCCAGATTTTGTGGGCTTGGGGTTGAGGCTGGCCCTTCAGTCTTCTGTAAGATGCTGGTTGCATTTATTCACATTTTATTTTGGGGGGGGGAAATGCAAAACGCCGGGATAAAACAGTGTTTTGCATAGGGGTTCAACTCCTGGGGGGGTGTTCAGGTAAGTGCTGGGGGAGGGGGCATGATAAGCCTACGTTGCAGCTTGCCAGGGGAATGGATCCATGCCCTAGGTGGTTTATTTATTATTTATGCCCCACCTTTTTTAAATAAACAGCTCAAGATAACAATTTTACCACCTCCTGGTGATTGGTCCACATGCACCCAGCCAGCTTTCATGCCTAAGGCGGAACTAGAACTCACATCCTCTGGTGACTGACGCAAAGCCGCCCAGCCAGCTTTCATGCCTAAGGCAGGAGTAGAACTCAGGGCCCCCTGGCTGACTTATGTTATTTAGATTTACGTGCCCCCCCCCTTACATTGGCACAAGTCAATCCAGCGAACATAATGCACCCTCCTGGCTTTTTTTTTCTCACACCAACAACCCTAGGAGGTAGGCCTTCTTCCAGATCTAAGAGGCAACTACAATTCCCAGTTCCCAGTCCCAGCACTTCACCCTTAACGAAACCAGTTCTCAACACTTTTTAACTTCGTGACCAGTTCACGGGAAGTGAGAAAATTTGAGAAAAAGCTTTGTATATTACCTAGAATTCTACCTCTACATTCTGGTGGATTGTAGAGAGAGAGGGAAATTACCCGGGTGAAAATATATAAAAATTGTTCACTATATAAAAGGGGGTTAAAACGTTTTTTTGTCTTTTAAAATCCAGAGCAACAAGATAACATTCAGAAGAAACTCGGTTAGATTTACAGGTTTCCGGCTTGGTCTCTATTTTTTTATTTTTTAAATCATTCTGATACAACTTGGATAAATTAAAAATATGCGGATGTGCTAGCTCATTACAGGCACAGAAAAGGTTTGTTTATTTTTAAGAGTTTAGGTTACTCCCAACATTTATTTTTAGACATTTCAGCAGGATATATTATCTGACCTATTTTTAAAATCCAGGACAGGAAGCCATATTTCTGAGTCTGTTAAAAAGGTTTTACTGGAAAATAAAATCCCTAACATGGCACTTTTTTGAACAATGAGTGTAAAAGCGAAGTCTTTAGTAACACATCAGTAAGCTGGACTTTTAATCGTTTTATGTAATAATGATCCTTTTTGTTTTGTTTCATCTAAGGCTAAACTATTAGTTTGTATCTGTGCATTCTAGTGAGGTTTTTTGGGGGCTATGAATTAATACAAAATTTTATTCCCATCCTTGGAAGAATAGTTTTTTTTTTTTTAAATGACAGCTCTGTTGCAGTTTGAGGTGGCTTAGAAGAGCTTAAATTCTCGCCCTCAAATTGTCTTTTTTCCCCTATTGTGCACCAAACCCCAGTTTTGAATGCCCCAATGCTCAAACTGGAAATGTGCAGAATAGCATCATGAAGGAAGGAATAAGAGATATTGGAATGTTTAATTTCCTCCCTGCCTGCCTGGAAGCTAAACACTTTTTTTCCAAGCTTCCGGACAGAAAGAAAGTGAATTAAACAGTTCTCATGGCCACTTAATAATTTTTTATCCATCCATCCATCCATCCATCCATCCATCTATCATTTATCTTTCTTTCCTTTTCACTTCCTTCCCTCCCTCCTTCCTTCTCTCATCCCTTTTTTCCTCTCCCTCCTTCCTTCTTTCCCTCTCTCTCTCCTCCCTCCCTCCGTACTCTTTCTTATTTTATTTATTCAATTTCTATAGCCGCCCATCTCAATCCGGGCCACTCTGGCCAGCCAACCAGCCCCCAATAATTAAAGCCATAAAAACACCACAAATGGTTTACGAATCATACTTGGAAGCAACCAACACAATACTAATAACTACATGTAAAAAGTTGGCAAACCTTTTTTTTAAAAAGTTAAGAGGTCTAAAGCACAAGGAGTTGACTTTGCATTATTCAGCGGCTCTTAAGTCACCTTTTTCGTTTTGTTTTTGCAGAGGCCGATTAGCATAGACGAGGCAGGACAAAAAACAACAACACCTGAGAATTTGTATTTCTAGGCAGCGGGGAGACCAAAGCAGTATTTTTTTTGCCCCATTACAATCTTGTGAACCTTTGCAAAGTTCTGTGAAAAGCAGTGTCCATTTGCACAAGCTGAGCAGACCTCTGTGCGTGTGTCCAGTTCATTCACATCGTTTTATTAAACGCAGTTTCGAGCTTTGTCTCCTTTTTCTGATACGTTCTTTTCTTTCTCTCTCTCTTTTCCTCCCCCCCTTCTCCGTCCTCCTCTGCTTTAAACACGAAGCTTTCTCTGAAGCTGGTAAGCACCATCCCAGCATGTATATGTATATATATATATATATTTTTAAAAATATA